GTTCGATCGATAGAAATAAACGCGCTTAACAACCGAGGACATCACGTTTGACAGGGAACAGCATCATGACAACGAATCGTCAATTTATTCTTCTGCCTTTACCTATCATCTGCAATGATTTCATCCTTGTCCCCTCTAGCCAATAGCATGACTACTACACTACCCATCCAAACGTCTTCTTCTTAACCACCGTCCCCCATCCCATCCTGATGTTCATTCTTCAGAACCGCGCGCAAAAACAAAAAGCCCAAAGCAATTTGGCGGGCTAGCTATCAAAACATGCATTGTTTCCAAGTAAAAGAAGGGAAAAAAAGCACACACAAACTCAGAATCCACCTCTTGAGATGCAAAAGCCCCGCCGGAACGCCACGCATATTGTGTGCCAAAGAAAGTGCCTAACGTAGATGGAAGAAAGAAAAAGCAAAAACGCCAGAACGACCGCCCAGATGATTTATGGTAATGGTGTATAAGATGAACGCGCCCAAAAAAAAACCACCCTGCGACATTTTTTGGTGCCATGTGTCGATGCACAGCCTTTCGTGGTGCTGTACAGATTCGTCTTGTTTCGCGCGCAAGGAAAAAGAAAAAGAACAGGACAGCTACAGCGACATTCGTGGGCCTAGTCAAAGGAACGAAACCGCATAAGCATCCAAAGCAAGGAAATGCCGTACAAGGTTTTTCTTTTTTGAGTCTGTGTTAAACTTTCCATGAGGCTACCCGACTTCACCAAAAAGCTTCACATCAAGCCCCAAAAAAAAACACCAGTCAGAAAAGATGGAAAGTAATTATTTGTACAGGGCTAAGACAAAATAGCCCAGCCTGCAAAAGCAAAAATTTCAAACTCACAAACTCTCTACTGCTTCGGTGATCTAGGTCTGACGTTAGCGCTTGCTCTGCAAGGGGGCATGTCTACAACTATGACTTTAGGGACTTACGTGGGCGAGTAGGAGTTTGAGGGGCCCGGCGATGTCGGGCTGTAGCGCGGCGAGGTGGGAGAGAATGAGCCAGCAGGGCTCGTCGGGCTATAGCGCGGGCTCGTCGGGCTATATTGGGGCGACGTTGGAGAGGTTGGGGACCGCCGGTCGCTGCTTGCATGATATTGCGGGCTCGTCGGGCTGTACTGTGGGGAGGTGGGACTGTACTGCGGCGACGTCGGGCTGTATGCCGGGGAGGTAGCGCCCATGAATCCAGGTGATGTAGGGCTGTAATTCGGCGATGACGGAGAGTACTGCGGTGACGTTGGAGAGTATCCAGCAGGAGATGTAGGCGAGTACGACGGCGACGTGGGCGAGCCATACCGTGGCGAGGTCGGGGAGTAATGTGGCGAAGTGGGGGATGCCATGTAGCCTGGTGAAGTAGCACCGAAGCGCGGGCTGCTGATGCCTGGAGACGTGGGAGAGTATCCGGGTGACGTTGGTGAGAATCCTGGCGAGGATGGGCTGGTGAAGCCAGGAGACATGCCTGCAAAGGCACCTGGACTTCTCCCGCCATCGCCGGGGGAGAAACCGCCGCTACCATAGTTGCCCACGTGGGTAGAGAAGCCACCATTATCGTCAATGCCACCTGCCGCAGCGAGTGGGGAGAAAGAAAGTTGGTCATAGTTGCCCACGCCCATGCCACCCTCATAACTCGGGGATCCGAGATCATACGGTGTAGCTGCACCGTTATCGAGATAGTTACCGGTGCCAGCAGCTCCGCCCATCATCTTAGAGTTGTCTTCTACCATGGTGAGGAGCATAGCATTGTCCATGACGACATCAAACTCCCCGGTACCCATAGGTGCAAGCTGACCAAGCATGATGTTCTCTGACACTCCACGACAGTCGTCAAGCTCACCAAAGCCGGCAGCCTCGAGAAGAATCTCAACAGTCTCTTCGAACGAGCAACGCATCAATGCTCCGGTGTCGTTCCTGTTAATCCCGTGGCGGGTGATGGCCATGAGAAGCCCGCGCTGGCACATGATGTCCACGAGCAGTGCCATGTGACGATGGTTGACGTACGAACCGTCAAAGGACAAAACCATACCCAGTTCATAGAGGAGGCCCGCTCGAGCAGCCTCAATGCCAAGTACGCCGAGGATCTCGATGAACGAGTTGGAGTACGTCTTGCTCGCATCGACGCCTTCGATGGCAAGGCACTCAGCCAACGCAGTACCAGTGGTATCAAGTACCCACTCCTTGCAGCGAGGATCGTTCTTAGAGAGTATAAGTGATCTGTCGTCGTTTTCCACCATGACGTCGTGCTCTCGGATGAACGCACGCTCAACACCACGGACACCGCGAAGGGTGACATCGTCGAGGAGATGCTTTTCCAGCTTGCGCATCCAGCGCTCGTCCCGCTCATCCTCATCCTCGTCATCCTTTTGTAGGTTCTGGTCCCAAATGAAACGAACACGCATGACTTGCTCGTCCGCGTTCTCATCACTGAAGATGACGGCAAGATTAGGTTTGAACTCGTCCTTGATCTTTCCAGCAACCTCACCAATGGTAATGCTCTTGTCTAACAGTTTCTTGCGGTCGAGAATGATACGGAGAAGCCACTTGGACTGTGATTCAATGACTTCATCTTCCTCGGGAAGAATGAAGTATGACTCGACCATATCCTGATCGTCTTCGACAATTGTTGACTGGATGTCCGGATCGTAGTATAGCTCGACAGCTTGCGTCAACGAACGAAGAGTCGTAAGCTCAATGCGACTCCTCAATTCCTTGGCGTCCTGCTGGGTACCGTTGGCGTTTATCTGACGGATAAGCATGGACGGAGTTTTAATATTGGCCGCAACGTTGAGAATTTCCTTGAGTCGTGGCACACCGAGCGTGACGTTCTTGGAGGACACACCAGCAAAATGGAAAGTGTTCAGCGTCATCTGAGTAGCAGGCTCACCAATGGACTGAGCTGCAAGAACACCGACCATCTCGCCAGGAGCTACGGCTGCCTTGAGGAAACGGTCTTCTAATTCGCCCAATACGTAGCTCAGAGCCTCCTTACTCATGCGATGTTCATCGACGAGTTGTTTGAAGGCGAGACGTGCCCGCAGATGAGCTTTGAAAAGATAGGTGGCGCTGGCCTGGGCTTCTTGTGACAGAACATCATCGCCACGAATGACGACCAACCGAGCGAGTGTGTCTCGCACCTGCTGAATGGCTTCAACAGGATGGAGATTGCTCACACTCTTTTTGGAATTGATGTTGAACCGGGCCTGGGCAGATTGAATCATACGCTGGATATTGAGGGGCAACTGGAAACTCGCGCTATCGTCGTCGCCGATGATTGTACGTAGGTGCTCACGATCAGCTTTGATCGTCTCGAACTCCTCGTCAAGACATCGCTGCACCTCGACATCGCCCTGGAACATCGAAGCTCCCTCGAGTACGGTAACGGGAAGCTCAGGCTTATCCGTGGTCAGTACATCCAGCTTGAACATATGCTCGAACTTGGTTTCCGAGATTTTAATGGTGTCGATCTTCTGGTTCTCGATATGAGCTCCATCCAGACCGTCCTCGCCATAGATGAACTCGACGATGTCTCCCATGGAATTGCGAACGGTTCCATCGTACTTGACCATGACATCTTCGAGCGCCTTGACCAAGCGACGTTGGATGTATCCAGTCTCGGCAGTCTTGACCGCGGTATCAATCAAACCTTCACGACCAGCCATGGCGTGGAAGAAAAACTCGGATGGCGTAAGACCGCGAAGGTACGAGTTCTCGACGAAGCCTCGGGACTCTGGTGAGTAATCGTCCTTTGAGAAATGCGGCAGTGTCCTGTACTTGAAGCCGTAAGGAATACGTTGGCCCTCCACAGCTTGTTGACCCACAAGGGCCACCATTTGAGATATGTTAACAGTAGAACCCTTGGATCCAGAAACGACTGTCTGGACAACGTTGTTGAAGTCCTTTAGACTCTTCTGCGCAGCGGTACCTCCACCCTCACGACCCTCGTTGAGGAACTTCTGCACCTTGGATTCGAAGGTACCACGGATGGTCATGCCGGGTAAAGGCTCAAGTGCATCCTTGGTGGCTTCCTCAATGATAGCCTCAACGTCGGCTCTTGATTTTGCGACTGCAGCGGCAATCTGATTCGCCGTGGCCGGATCTGGGATCGTATCACCCACACCAAAACTGAAACCGTGATGTAGAAGCCACCAGTTGACGATGCGCTGACAGGTGTTGAAGAACTTTACAGCCGCGTCAGAACCAAGCTCATTGAAGATGACGTGAATGACACCACCAGCTGAAGCACCGACAATCTTCTTGGTAACCTGACCAAATATCAGCTGGCCTCCCATAATCAGTAGACTCTTGTCAACGATGTCGTTAAATGGTGAGGGCTTAGAGTCGTCCTCGGTGCGTAGAATGTTGACCTGTTTGGGAAAAGCCATGCTGACAATCTGTTTGCCGCTCCATAGGGTCTGGGGCTTGAGAATGGCAGGTTCGGGAAGAATGCCATCCCAGTCTGGCACCCACAGCATGATGTTCATGACCTGGTCGATAGGAACGAAGTTGTCGCGACGGCTCATCTTGTAGATACCAAGAAGCGTGTCCTGGACGATACCCATCAAGGGCTTGTTGCTCTGTGGTGAAACGA